TTCACCGACTCATCAGGAGGCTGAACCCTCAACAGTCTGTAGAATCCCCTCACTGATTACACTGTAAGTGATAATCCACCTTAACCAAAATCAAAGTAGACTATCACTCACCCACACCAGATGGAAAACTCTACAGACTGTCTACAGATATGGATATATATACACACATATATATTGTATATACCTATAATTTGCTATAATTTTTTATTTTTTTTTGGGAATATAATTTGCTATAAAATATATCATCTCTAAGAAAATTATCGAAGAAAATTAAAAGCACAAAAGAGAAACCGGACGTCAGCCTACGACTACAATTTTTATTTATTCTTTGAGGGGTCCAACACGATTTTTTTCTGATTTTCCTCTCCAAGTTGGCTGTTGCCACATCAGCTGTTCCAATGTCACCTACCACATACGCTGCTGCCTAAAGAGTAATTAAAAGAAATAATCATAACGCCGGGGAATTATATAATTTATATTGCAATTGAAATATTTTCCTTGAAGAAAGACAACCCGTTTGAAATAAATTTTTATGGCGTTAAAAGAAAGGAAGAGAACTTGGTTATATGCTAGGCTACCAGCCGGGCCGCCCGGGGCACCCTATTTTCCCCGACGGCCCGGCCGTGCAAGAAGCAGCGAAGGTCCGAGTAAAAAAAAAAAAAATCCGGAAAAAAAACTATGTGATGCAGACAAATAAACTTGACAACTTATGCCTCAGGGTCGCGTCGAAATTTGTTTTTACCAAATTTAAAATGAAAAGTTCTTTTTTTTTTTTTTTTCTGTGGCCCAGCAGGGCAAGTGGCCCCGGGTCACTCGGGTAGCCGAGGTTATATGCGATAAAAGATATTAACAAATCAAACAATTTTTTTTAATTTTTTTTTTGCGCCTGCTCTCTTCAGAACGCTGAATGCGGCACGGTGCATTTTTCATATTTTGGGGAAATTACATTCGGCATTTATAGAATTTTATGAAATAATGAAAATTAAAAAAGAGAACGCGGACGAGACCGTTCGACAGTCTTTTTCCTTTCGGTGACCAACACACACGTCCTTTGTTACTACCCCAACTTGGGGCCTAGCGACTCTCAGAAATGTTATGTAGATAAACGAGGAACGTACCAGTGGTGGTTGCTTTTGGCCGCTGGGCCGGGAGGCTGGACCTGGCCGGTGAGCCTCAAAACCTCCGCCACGCCCTGCTGGATATAATACGCCGGGCCCTTTTCCCGGCTTGTAAATAGATAAGGTTATTCATTTAAAAAAAAAAGAAAAAAGTTGGGTGGTTCGCCTAGAGAGGAAGAGGCATCATCGAAACGAGTTCAGTAAAGGGACCACGGTCCGACCACCCAACGTCACCCAACGTTTTCTTTTTCACGTCTATCTACAAGCAGCGTGAAGAAAAAAGAAACAATTCTATCTTCAAGCCCTAAAGTCAAAAGGAAACTCTCTCTCTCTCTCTCTCTCTCTCTCTCTCTCTCTCTCTCTCTCTCTCTCTCTCTCTCTCTCTCTC